TTAAAAAAATTCTCAAAATTTCAAAGTAAACGCGTTTTCCATTTTTATGTTTTCGGAAACTTTTTTCAGAATGGCAAAAAGAACGCATTTTCAGAAATTTCAAAACAGACACTCAAAACACAAAACACAAAACTGAAACACAAAGAGAACAGCACCTTAGTTTCTTGGGATCGTTGGATTGACTTTTGCTCATCCCGATGCGTTGATATTTGGTATTCGAATGGTTTTTCATTCGTTGATTATGTTTTCCTAGATTCTTCGGTGTTTTCTCTTTTCATCTTCGTCTTGTGTTGTGAGGAGCTCTTGAATCTGTTTCTTGAGTGTGTTTTCTCATTTCTGTGTGAAATCTGGTGAAAAGAAACAATGTTGTTGTTGGTAACGTTGAGCTCTTTTGGTCCATAGAAGAAGTTGCATGTTTACTGTGAATCGTGAGGGTTCTGGGTGAATCTGGGTTTTTCATGGTGTTGATACAAACGGGTACAATATTCTGAGCTTTTGATTTGGGAAACTTTGGTATTCAGTGGTTTACTTTGTAATAGGTGCTTCGATCTGTAATTTTGAGTTTCAGCTTTGTATAATAGACAATTATAACCAGTTTTCCCTGGGGAATGACCAATTAACCAAGTAGCTCTAGGATCAAATTTGGATCTTTTATTTATTTATTTGGAAACACAAACGAATGCTGCACGGCCAAACAATCTAAGATGAATATGATTAATTCCATCGGAGTGTGGAAAGTACCGTGATAATATTCCTATTGGAATTTTAAAATCAAGAATTTAGTTAAAAAGTAAAAACAGAGGGAAAGTTTAATTATCATTCACTTAATCAACTCGAAGATTGGTGTACAATCCATTTTTCTTCAAGATATGAAAAGATTAATATATTGAATTATTCTCCTCTGTTATTTGAACGAATAATTTAAATTTTTGTTGCACCAAATTGTGTGGGAATCATTTGATGAAAAGCTTTGAAGGTAGTATGGACATCAGATACGTCATATTGCCCATTGCTTAAGATATCAGAGATTGCAACTAATATGGAGCATCAATGGTTGGACCTCAACCTCAATCCCCACTGTAAATCTGCCACTAGGTGGAGAAGAATGATCATTTTCTTTTCAATTTTTTTATCAATTAATATATTTTTTAATTCCTTTTTTAATAATTTTAATTATTTCAAATGACATAACACGAAATGAACTTTTTGCCCTTCTTTGAATTGGTTACACAGGCCTAATATTTTGATCGACTAATGAATTTTTTTGGACAAAACCTGTCAAAGGTCCTTATGTTATCTATTTTTGCAAACGCTTGACCTCGGTGCTGTCAAAATAAAAGGTTTGGGACCCGCGATAATTTTTTGAACCATTTGGGACCCCATATGCAATTTACACAAAATGATAAGCTTTTCCTAAATTTTTATTTTGGACTCATTCAAAAAAATTTAAGTGAGATATGTTCATGGCGACTATTTATTGTAAATTTAGATGCTTTCTATCTTGAGGATTAATTGTGCAACTTTTTAATTTGAGGATAAATTTCCCATCTGGGCAAGAGCCAAGAAGTTGAGGACTGATGCTGCAACAGAAATAAATATCTTCAAAGGAGAGCTCAAACAAAACCCTAGAATTAGGGGTGGATAAAAATCAAATCAAATAGACTAACCTAACTCAAATCGATTGATTTTTAAGTTCAATTGGGTTGAGTTGGGCTGAAAAATTAAAATTGACTTGGGTCTCAGGTTGTGAATTAAAACCCAACCAAACCCCCAACCAAACGTCAAAATACTATATGCAAATGCAAAGTTACTTGACTATAAACTAAAAATTAAGAACATGATGATGAAATGAATGAATTCCAAAAAAATTGTAACAAAGAAAATGCATAATAATTTCAAACTTATTTATACATTATTTTTCGGATAGAATTCCCCATATGGGTTAAAAACAACAAAAGTTTACAAGCGATTTCAATTTTTGAAAAATTGTCTAAACTCAACAAAAAATAATCGTATCTGCATTCCTTGAAAGCCTCAATTCCGATTATGTTATATTGGGCCCAAATCCAAACTGACCGACCCATCCAAACCAAACAAATCTAAGCTTGATCGATTTGGGTTGGGTATAAACAAATAATTGGGTTGAGTTATACTAGAGGAATAAATAGTTCTTATGATAAATCCTAATG